GAAACAGAAGCGCCTACGACTCGAGCCTCCGCAAAATTCAAACTTCTCTCCAGGAGCCTCTGATTGGAGGGGCTTTAATCAACACTTCCGGGGAAAGCGCCCGCCCCTTCCCCTTGAGGAAACTTTCTATTGGTTCGCTCTGGGCGATATTTGAATTGATTGAAAGGTGAAGGGACGACTCAAAGGACCAGTGTGGATGTGGGCGGGAAACAGACGGGGCCGCCGCGGAGTTAGAAAGGGCGTAGCTCAGGGCGGCGCTTAGTCCAGGGCAGGTGCGGGAGGGAACCGGGCACTTGTGACGCGGGTGATCCACTCGGGATCCACTGAGGCGAAGCCACCTCTTGAAAACCGCAGAAGGGATTCAGAGTTTGCAGACTTTTTGAAGGTCCTTGTTTAGTCATAGAAATCCGGCAGACGCCCTTAACTTCACGTTTTAAAGAAGGGGCTAACCACACCGAATTTCGTTTTATTTTGCTTTCCTAAGACGTCAGCCTTTCCCCCACAGCCACCCCCCGCCCCCGCTCTCTAATCCGTTTCTGGTAGAGGTAAGATTTACATACAGTGAAAAGCATAGTCTTTAGTGGACGAGCGGAAGAGTTTCGAGAAAGCGGTCACAGCCGAGAAACCTGACCACCACCCAATGAAGGTGTAGAGCGTCTCCTTCACCCGGAAGCGTTCCCTCGGGCCCCTTTCAGGTCACTGTACAGACCCCTTAGGCGACCCCTCTTCTGATTGTCTCGCCTAAATGAAGACGGTAGGTACTCTTCTGGGTGTGACACCGTTCTCTCAGCTTAATTTCAGCGTTCATCCTTACCGTTACGTGAACCAGCAGTTGGTAGTTTTTCTGGTTGGGAAGTATTCTATTGATTCCTTTATCCATTCACCTATTGATGGACATTTGGGCTGTTTCCAGTTTGGGGCGGTTATGAACTAAAGTGCTGTAAGCTTCCTTGAACAACTCTTTGTGGGCATATTGTTTCTCTTGTGGGAAATAACAGGTGGGTGTGTGATGGAGTAAAACAGGTAAGAAGAAGAACGGTGTATGTTAGACTAAGGTGCATCCCATAGGCCCACCTCACCCACCCCACAGAGCAGAGTAAAAAACAACTGGTGTGGTTACATTGAACGAAAGACACGCTGTTCTGCTTCTGTAAACTGCTAACAGATCGTCCCAAATGTTAACCTGCCAGTGGCAGGGGCGGCAGTCCTCTGGCCAGGGATAAAGGCTTCTAAAACTTTAATTTCTTCAAATAATAATGTGATTGAATGTATGGAAGAAAATGAAATGAAAATAAATAAATAAATTGAAATGTAAAAAATAAAGTACCTGTACTTGGAAAAACAAAAACAAAAAAACTTTAATTTCTCAGTGCCCTTGATCTTCATAATATCTTGCACCACAACAGGTGATTTCTGGGTTATTCCGGATATGTTTAACCTTTGAAAGAAATGCCATAGCAGTTTTCCAAAATGGTTGTGCCCTGTTACACTCCCGCTAGTGATGTATGAGAGTTCCAGTTGTTTCACGTGCTTTCCAGCATTTGGGGCTGTCGGTCTTTCATTTCAACCCCCTAGTGGGTGTGAAATGGCATCTCATTTTTAATTTTTGCAATTTCTCAGTGACTAATGATAATAAGCATCTTTTCATGTGTTTATTGACTTTTATGTCTTGTTTCGTATAGTGCCTTTTGCTTATTGTGAAATCTACAGTTGGTCGTGGTATGCCTTGTTGCCTGGTATTCAACTCCTAAAGTCCTTGACATTTCTAAAGCTGGAAGTGCCTTTTGGCTGTTTATGAAATGACTGACAACTGGCAGCTCTGGGTAGTTTCAGAATGGGGGCTGGTCACTGGAAAGACCAAGGCATTATTAGAGGGTTGGGACTTTTTTTTTTTTTTTGGAGAGATTTTGCCTTTGAGGGGGGTGCGCGTCCCTAGCTCTCCTAAATATATAGTTAACTATTTTTTAATTGCTAATAAATTCTTTTTTTTTTTTTGGAGAGATTTTCACTGTAGGGCGCGTGTGCTCGCCAGACAGACATAGAGACAGAAAGCGAGAAATCACCCCCCCAGGGGGGATGGTCACGCTGCAATCCCTTCTCCTCCATTCTCCTCTCGGGATCTTGGGCACGCACGCACACGCGCCCGGCGTGAGTTTTAAGCCACCGGGTCCGGGACACGAACCGCAGTCGACTACGTGGGAGTCCAGCGACATAGCCATTACGCTAACTGCTGGTTCCCGAGGGTTGGGACTTTTAGCCCTATCCCACCTCTGGGCAGGGGAGATTGATTGAAGGTTAAAGTGATGGCAAGTGGCCATTTTTATTAACCATGCCTATATAATGAATCCATCATGAAAAGCCAAAAACAACAAACAAACAAAACAACCCAGGGTGAGAGAGAACTTCTGGATAGCTGAAAATATAGATACTCCTGGAGGATAGTATGCCTGGAGAAGTTTTGGGAATTTTGTGCCCCTTGTCACATGCTTTGCTTTATGCACTTTTTCACTTTTTTGTGCTTTAAAATATCTCTTTTAGTGTAGCCGGAGGTGGTGCAGTGGTAAAACATTATGTTCTGCAAATCTGACCCACATGGGAGAATTCTGGATTCACATCAGGAGACCTCCCTAGGTAGGACATGCCTGTGATCTGTAGTTTTCTGGGAGTGGGTCCTGGCATCAAGACCTTGTTGGGGTGCTCTCTTTCTTTCAGGAAAAATAAACTTTAAAATTTTTTTATAGTAACCTAGTAAATGTGAGTG